CAATGCATACTAGTGTTTAAAACAATAACGTACGTAGTTGCTCCAAAAAAATCGCTGGCGGCGCGCACCGGACAGGCCGGTGCGATTACACATTTTTGCACTATTTCGTGGTGCAGCAACGTCGCAAGGACTCCCAGTATCTAGAATTTGTGACATACTGGCCCTCGAAGTTCAGGCAGTTAATCGTGCAGCTATTTGGTGTGTCAGTTACAGATGTCGGCTTCAGTGAACTGATAAACGGAAAGTTGCTGGTGCGTGAAAAAGACCCGAAGAGCTGAATTTGAAATCTTTTAGTCGTACATGAGTAGGGAATATTCCTTTAAAATTCCAGCTTTTCAGCTTTCCTCGTTCCCGAGTTGGCGATTTTCTCGCCAGAACATTCACATGCTCGTGCATGAGACGTAGACATGCGTAGTAGTTGAAATCACGTTCTTAGGATCGCACTTGACAATGAAACACACCGGCAAAATTTCAGCATCAAAGCCTGCGTAGTTGCTGAGTAAAAAGACCCGGACAAACGAAGAAACACACACAAACATACATAAACACACAGACGGGGTCGCCGCAATATGCGTTTTGCAGCGCTCTAGCACTGCACTGCAAAAACGCATAAAAACCGGCCCTTTTGCCACATTCGTGGGTTTTCTCGGTGTTTTGAAACGCAAAAAACGTACTGCAAGCGACGAACTCAGTGAATTTGTTTTCAGCAGGATGTCCGATCACCACCATCTGATGTGATAAGCGGATGTAACGAAAGTACAGCACTGTGTTGACTGCGAGCAGTGCAACAAACGCAGAACAAGCTGTAAAATTCATCCCACCGAATTGGCACAATGTGCGAGTTCTCAAAGCACTATGGCGCTAACGAAAATGTGCAACTGCAGGGTGGAAAGGAGAAAAAGGGGTGTCTTGAGTCAAAAAACTCTATCGCATATACACTTTTCCATTCCTCACCCGTAAGCGGGTTGAATTTTACTGGTTGTTGCTAATGTGACACAGTAACGGTTTTCTTTTGTATTTCGTTGTAAGTA